TTCTGGTTACCATTAATTTTTTAATTAAAACTTACTAACTTACATTCTTACTGTGAGTGGGCTTGCCTCTCCGCAGATTTGACATGTAACTTGGCCCTATGTTGTCAACTCCTGCATCCGTAGAGATAAATAAGTGTAATGCCATACTGTGGAACATTTCAGGAAGTATCTCTATGAAAAGTAGTAGGTGATGAACCAAAAATGTTACATAGTGCACCTTTAATCACCTTTAAGTACAGACATTTATAAGATATTAGATACTGCAAAATCAAATTCATATCATTCATAATTTTTTTATGCTGTCAGTAATTAGGAATCAGATTTGTGCAAATAATGTAGCTCAATCTTGATTCAGCAATCCTGTCATATCTTACATCTCTCTTTCTACACATACACACATACACACTGCCTCTATGCGTAGTCTTTAGTAGTTGACGACGGAGGATCTGTAAGAATAAGTGTGGACAGTTTTAAACATTACATAGATTACATTATTTTGCACAAATCTGATTCCTAATTACTGACAGCATAAAAAAATTATGAATGATATGAATTTGATTTTGCAGTATCTAATATCTTATAAATGTCTGTATTTAAAGGTGATTAAAGGTGCACTATGTAACATTTTTGGTTCATCACCTACTACTTTTCATAGAGATACTTCCTGAAATGTTCCACAGTATGGCATTTACACTTATTTATCTCTACGGATACAGGAGTTGACAACATAGGGCCAAGTTACATGTCAAATCTGCGGAGAGGCAAGCCCACTCACAGTAAGAATGTAAGTTAGTAAGTTTTAATAAAAAAATTAATGGTAACCAGAAAAGTTACACAGTGCACCTTTAGTAAAAGCATAAAGCGCAAAGTAGAATTTAGTCTTAAACACTATAGCAGTTACTCCAACACTGTGGGACTTTTCCTGTTCTGTTTTACCATACAGCACAAACACTGAGAACATAAAGACCAAACATGCAGGATGTCCCCTTAGTGAGCTAAACATCTGCCACTCTGACAAAGCTATGGCACCACTGTATGACGAAAAGAGGTCAAAGGTGAATTTTCAAATGACAACAACCTTAAGCCTATACCAAACACAATAAAGTCTGCCTTGGATATCGCCAAGTAAAATTTTATGGCAGCTAATCTAAACTTTATTTCTTACCTTGTAAAAATGTACCCTGCTAATGTTATAATGACAAGCTGAATACATTTTGATAAATGCCTTGTAAATTTTCCAACGATGAGTGCGTTGTGCAGCCCTATAATCTAAAAACAGAATTACAGTTATTAGACATGAAGTTGTAATCCACCTCTTTGGCAACAAATGCAGCTTCAGGTTGTCTTTCCATTCATCTGATTAAGAAGTAAGAAGTAAGGATTAATCCATGTTGTATCCAAAAGGTTAGTCTTGGTGTCAGTGGCTGGTCGTCCTCTCAGTTTGTAGACTATCTTGTGAGCTGTGTCCGCCTTGATGTTAGAAGCCAGTGGCAGGGGAGAAGCCGGGGAGCGGTGAAGAGTCCACGCACCACTTCCATCTTGATCACATTAAGGTTTTTGCTGACGCTGAGAGCACAGAGCGAAGGGTGGCTGTGCTAGAGGGGCTGGCTTTCTCCTCTCTCCCCCTCTCCACCTCTGCTTTCCTCTGCTGGAGCTCTTCCTCAGCGTGGTCCCCTCCCAGCTCTGTGGACAGGACGTCTGACTCACATCCAAGGAGCCCCCTCCCCCTGTCCTACCACACACTGTATGCCTTCAGTGCCGTTGCCTCGTGGACTTTCTCCGCTCACTGTTGGTAGAATCTTCTCTCTCTGTAGCTGGAGTTCTTCATCACCTTTTCGGAGCGCTGGGAATGGCTCTCGGCTCTAGTTGGATTTGATTAGGAACAGGCTGCCTCGTAAGACCTCTGACACACAGCCAGAGCAGACTGCACTGTGTTTTGGCAGCTTTATCTGAGGCATGCTTTTGCTTCAGATTTGTCACTTGGTTAACCTTGCAAGCATTCCTAAAGGGTTCATATTACACTATTTTCTGATCCATGTTATAATGTTGTTTCCTCATCAAAGACATACCTGGAGTTTCATTCACATGTTTAACGCACAAACCCTGCATATTTAGGCTGACTTTTTCTCTCACACCGAAAACACTCTTTTTACCTTGTGATGTCATGCGTTAATACAGGAGGTGCTTCATTATGTTTTTAAACTCCATACATCTTCACTAGAATCATTTGGATCATTTGGAATTGCAAATTTCTACTGAATTAAAGGTAAAAAGTAGCTGATAACATGAAAACTACAGCTACGTGACATCACAAGGTGAAACAGAGCATTTTGAGCTTTAGAGATGTACACAGACTAATAATAAAGGGTTACTCAAACACAACTCAATGTATGTTTTTGAATTGGTAAAAACAATACAATGTGACTAAAAGCTTGCATGAGTCAACTTTGGGTAATATAGGACCTTTATTCAGTCTTTCCAGTGTACTAAAACAAAAGGAAAAGTTAATTTTGGTAAAATAAATGGACAAAGGAGAATTTAAGAGTGTGTTTGGTTTGCAGTCATAGAGTAAAAAGTCCAAATCACTGGTGAATCACTGCACAGTATTAAGCACAAACAGCACAGATAAGAAATAACAATAATCAGTCACTAATTCTGTATGATAACTAGGGTTGGAGATATGACAACCATAAAGTAAATAAATTCTTCCTCCTCAATTTGTTCAATCACAGTTTTCAATTTGATTTTAACCTACAGCATTTACACTGGCCTATATATATATATATATATATATATATATATATATATATATAATATATATATATATATATATATATATATATATATATATATATATATATATATATATATTTTTTTTTTTTTTTTTTTTTTTTTTTTCAATATATCTTATATCAAACAATACATAATTTTAACAAAACATGAGAAATAGTCTTAGCTAAGTTGATGCTTTTACTGACAGAGGATTGTGAACCCCTTAATCTATTAAAAACATGTATGTAACTGGCAATTAAAAATTAGAGGACTTCAATTAAAATTTTATTAATTGCACAGCCCTTAAACTATATAAAATCTAAGAATAAAAACTGGGTCAGATAAGGACAAAAGCTCATTTTTTTTAAGTATCTTGTTACAGAACAAACAGTCTCAACGTCTGCCTCCACACTGCATTTTCTAGGACCCGCCACTTCCTTATTCAATTATCAGAACCAATAAACATAAGGAACTCATTTTACTTTGGCAAATTTAAAATTGCTGTTTAATAAATAAAAACATACAACTCAAAACTTGTTTTAGATTAAACTAAAATAGAAAATAGTCACCCTTTGCTTTGAACCCTGTTTTGTACTTTTTGTATTTGTTGACCCTAACGAGGCACAACTGTGAAGTGAAAATCATGTTAGGAGAATTCATCATGAAGCTCAGTGAGAGAAGGCCAAGGGTTTGCAGCCACTGTCTATGGGTGGACACTTTGAGGATTTGAATATAAAATAATATATAAATAAATAATAAACAATTTTTCTTCACTACATAATGCCATACGTTGCTTCACATATTTGATGTGTTCTGTATTTATATAAAATGTACAAAGTAGTAAACATATAAAACCTAGAAAAATGAGAAGGTGTGTCTAAACTTTTGACTGATAGTGTGTAGTTGGGGCAAATAAACAAAAGTGGCTGTATATATCTTCCCAAAATAATAATAATGCTTATCAGTCTCAGTCATCTTCTCTGGATTCTACTGTATTCTTCAGTATCAACATTGGCGAGAATCAAACTCTCTGATGGTCAGTTCCTAATGAATATTCCAGTTGTAGCAGCACCAGCCTTAGTTTGTGTCTGTGAAGCAGGGTCAGAGCCTGTGAACCCGGAGGTCATGCAGATGTGCAGAGCAGAGGCCCTGGATGAGGCCACAGTGGGAAAGTCTCTGTCTCTGCTGCCTCTCGGGACACAGATGGTCCCTCTCAAGAAAAAACATCCAAACTCAACAAACTGCAGCTAGTCACGATGATTATTATTTAGGGATGTAACGATATCCAAATCTCTAAGTGCAATATTTTCATAGTATACATCTCATTAATAAGGTGTATTAATTGCAAATATTTTGTGGAGGCAAACACAATTGTGAATATGCTACTTTTTCCTTTTAAAATGCCTTGACAAGCCTTTGGTCACAATCCAAAGAATTACGTGTTTAATAACAGTTATTTCCACATGTAATTTACAATGAAACATTACTTGCATTACTTTTAAAAATGACATTTACACACCTTAGATTAATAAATTTGATTCAAACATGGATTAAAATACAATGAAACATCCCACAATTGAATGATTATCAAAATATTGAATTAACTGTTACATCCTTAATTTCATTATCAACTTATCGTTCAATAAAAAATAGAAAATTCTATTCTTTGCTGCTAGAGCACTTTTTCCTCATATTTTTGTAGTAGTATTAATATTGTAGTAT